GGAGATACATGAAAGAAACGCCTGGGAAGAATTTCATATTGATTCCCGTGTAATATTCCAATAAAAATAACATCTTCCCAGCTGATGCTTATTTTCATTTGTAACATTATTTGTCATTCGTACCGATCGTATTCCAGTATTATACCGAATCCTCACACTGGAACTTATTTTGGAGGACTTACTTGAGTTCAAGAATTTTTAGTAGATTTGCTTTGGCTTACCTACCTGGGCCTTATGTGATTCGCCAAATCCAAGTCCCGGAGCGTAGGTTGTCGGTTTCCATCACCGAACGGCAATCGTCTTGATTACGGGGTTTGTTCCGTATCCTCATCACACAAATCTGTCTAATAAAAATGTTTCATTCTGTTGTTAGTTAGCTTTCGTTTACTCCGCACCACACCTCTGTGCACATGCTCATGCGATCATGACAAAGTCGGTTGTTGATGATGGTTTTGTAGTATTTTGATATCTGGGATACATCCCCGAAGTTATGACCAAGTTTTTTCGAAGCAACACGATTCGAAAATGATTAAGTTTGTTCTGTGGGATCGGCTGCTCTGTTATCGTAGCATAATGAGCTAGGTGAGCACTTATGCGTCTCGGTGAGTTGGCCTATTTCATATTTTTCCTCCGTCATGTTGGCTATCCTGATGCTACAAGAAGTAATAGATCACCAACTTTATTCAAACCGATTTGATCTCCCATTTGATTGATTGGTTTTCCATACACTTGATAGTCAACTTAGTGTGATCGGATGTTGTTATTAAGCTCATTATATTTTCTATCTCACTCCAATACAGATTGTGGATCTTTACCGATTGTGGCTAAAGGACGGTTTGTTCAATTCATCGGCGTTCGGCACAACTATGAACTTGTTTCAGTGAGTACGGGTTATCTTTTTCTTTTGAACTTCTTTTAAATGTTCCTCGTACAAAACACCTGAAACGTTTTATTTAGTCGATCGGCATTACATGTGGACATCACATCACACATGTGCGTTCGATCGTCAAAAAGTACAAAATCATAAGCTTTAGAAGAATGTGGTAACTGGGACGTTTTTAACAGGGCCAGTCAGTGATGTAGGATGCGTAAGCTACGATAATATGAACTTCTACGCCAGCGCTACAGAGCGGAACGGGAGTCCACTCTGACGGGATTACTCCATAAGTTCTATTGCTGTTTTCATTCTCCGCATCCAATCAGCGGACCGTATCTGATTGTTCCGATTGATCTGCGATTTTCACCTTTTGAGTAAGGATTGATGCTCTAAAATTAAATGGTTGGCAGTTAATTGGTTTCTCCGTCTGGTTAACTGCCCGACCAAAGACGGTAATGCGATAAAAAGAGGTGGCCGCACTCCCATCGAAGACTCAACTTGCATACGCTGGACTAAAATGCCTATGATGTCGACGTCACACTACCTTAAACGTCAGAGATCGCGCGTTCTATTCTGTTTTACGATTGTAAGGTTGAGTGTTAAAGACATCTGTTGATTAAAGATTTTCATCTACCGATATTCACATAGTTTGGCTCATGTGGGATGAAGTCAGCGAAGTTGAAACAGCATGGTAAGTTAAGTTTTTGGGAGTCCTTTCGTAGGAAATTCTTTGTCAATTCATATGTTATACTTCCAACCAACGTCGATCGCTTCTGGTTTACAGGTGCCGCTTCAGGGTAAATAAAATGACGAAATCCAATGGATAAAGTAGAGGCGAGGTCTGAAGAACTACCTGAATCTATTCGGAATAAGTACGTGTTTTCTGTCCTCCAGGTTGTTATCCGAAGTACTAGAGCTGGCTGGTTGAAAGTCCTTCAAAAATTCATGACAAGGCGACAGTAATAGTGGCCTTGTTTTTTTCCATCATTTATGTATAGTTCGATTGTGTTCCGTGTGTTGACAAATGAAGCTCTCATTCCGTATTTACTTTGTATGCTCTGTGACCTTAGCAGTAATTGTCACTTTAAATGCGGTGGAAATATTTAAGAAAGTCGACAAAGAGCACCGGACAGCTGCTTCGTCTTATTCGGGACTCGTCAGTAGGGCGTACCTTTTGTGTCCCTATCAGGACTCGAACCGCGAACCTTCAGGTTGGGACTTCAAACCTTTACCCCGGAGCTCTTTGTCAGTTATCACAAACGTTTCCACCGGATTCAACCAGTGAGGAATTAACAATCTCCCGAGGAGTGAAACCCACACCATAGAGCATCAAGAGCGTCTGGTGCCTTTGAACAATCGAATGGGTTTACCCAAACATTCACCATGTAAATTTGCAGTTTGCTTCGGTGTATTTTTAACTTCTCGTAACCATCTTCCGTTACTGTAATGCTCGTCAGTAGTCTAGTGAAGTAAGATGAAAATATCAGAGTTGGGTCGACCGGCGGACGGCGTGTGATGTTGGATCATTTTTGACGGACAAACTAATGCAAGACAGATGACTTCCCATCAGGTTTTGAACATAATCCGGAACATGTGAAGAGAGGCCTCGGAGCTCTTGCTATCTGTGATCTTCATGTGGCAGATTGAATTCAGTGTAGACTGGGCAGCAGCACCTTGTTCGCGGGGAAACTTGGAAGCGAACGACCGAGGACGTATTTTACACATTTTTTGGGGTTCAGACTTTCTCTTTGATGGAATACCAAAAAGGTGTTTTCCGATTTTTGGTATTCTATTATGGTTAAGTTATTTATGGTAATGAATACCGAGGGAACTGTGTATCACGTTTATAGTTACTTCAACGAAATTCAGTGAGAGTGAGCCATCTTATTTGCGGAAAATCTTGTACATGGACGATTTTATCGATCTGTTATTATGTGCATCCGCCTTTGAGGGAATCTACCTGGATAATATACCCAATGGGATTCTTCTTATCTTGAGCGAAACAAATGCTGTCATTTGTCGTATTTTTTGGTCCGTATACTCATCTAATTCCAAACTGTCTTCATCTTCATTTCCTTTTTAGGGGCTTGTCAAAACCATGCATCGTATCAGCTGTAGACGATGCTTTGAGTGTCATACGCGATTGCGTAACCCTTTCCGACTCTGATTCCCCGTACTGTTGGCCAGAGAACATTGTACGCGATGGCAATCACAGTCTGATGGAGTTCGGTCGGTCACTGCGCGGATGGCGCGAAGAACTACATGCAGCGGGTGAGAATGCGTGCCGTTTGGTTGTGATTTCACAAAAAGAAAAAAACCCAGCAATCACTGTGGGAAAATGCACACTTTAATGTTTGGAGTTTAAGTGCAAACCGAAGCCTTCGTTCGTATTTTCCGATCTGTTTATTGTCTAGAAAATTGTTTACTTTCGTCAAAAATCGTTCTTGTTTTTTTTGTGGATGCGGTTGAACTGTGTGTTGCTCGACAAAGTGCATTGTGGACAGTTGTTTTGTGCTTGTTAGATCTCATCAGGAGTGTGTAATATTTTGGTGTCCCTTGCCGAATTCGGAACCAATTTTTCCGAGTGCAAATTTAATACAATAAACGTTTGTGGGATAAATGGACTACCAGACGAGTTGTATGTAGATGTCAACTTTTGTAAATTGGGGCACGGTTTTGGATTCTGTCTCTGAGCTGCATGAAGAACGTTCAGTATCCTAATACGCGTATACGAAATCTCTTTCTCCAACTCTGTGCTCAGTCCCCCAAGATGTGAATCTGTATTCAGTTCAGTGAGTTCTTCATATGGGTACTTTTATCCTGATTTTGATTTCAGACATGTGAAATGTGCGTATTTCCCATTGCTAGTCCACGTACCACTCGTCTCCTACGTTTTGAAAACGCGGTGCATCTGCTTTTATTATTATTATTTTAAATGGTCTTCAGTGCATACCCACTGATGCGTGTCCACCAATTCTGACAACTCCTACGCCTGACGGAAAAATGGTTTCGGTCATCGCCAAGTTGAATCTAGCCTGATTGGTGCTCTGTGCTCCGGGTAGGAGCGATTCAAACCACTTGACCGCCGCCATTTCAGTCCGTTCGACCCTGATTCGAACGTATTCTAATACTTCCCTAGCCTTTTTCTAGCCACATGAAGTCGAATCCAGTCGCTTTCTTAAAGTTCAACTCAAATTATTTGCATGGCAAGAGAGAGAAGAGTAAAAACTTTTTATTCACCGCACGTGACTTGATTAAAAGCGAACGCGTTCTCGGTTTTGTCGCGTCCGCGCGACAAACACCTACTTAGGATACTCGGGGCATTATCAGTCGTTCACAACAAACCCATCTTGTGGGTTGAAAACGCATAAACTTTATCCTTGGATTTCCGTCTGTAACCAACCATGTGCAACACATAACAAAACCTAACAAGATTTCCTAATTCATTTCATTTGTCTATCTTGTTTAATGATATACCTACGCAGTCCATGGGAGTATGTGAAAAGAGTTCTCGCAGTGTTTGTCCTCTGACTTCTGCGTTCATAGTTATCATTTTATCACTGGTTCTTCATCATTATGTTTGAAACTAACAGTTGAATTTTTTGCCGCGTACCTTGTCCACAGACTTGACAAACAAGACCATCGGGTCTGCAACTCAACCGTCCGCTCCCTCGCCGTTAGCCATATCCGGTCATCGAAAAATGAGTTTACACGGTTTAAAACAGGTAAAGCATTATCGGCTGCATCGTCTTTTCCTATGCTTTTTTCGCTCGACTTTGGACACCCTCGCTGCTTCGTGGGGATTGCTTTTCGGTTAACCGGTTTGTGGTGCAAACCGACTCCATGTCAATAGCACATCATGTGCATGACCTCGACCTCCATAGACTATGTTGTTTGGGACATGTGATGCCCATGTCATCAAATGGGGGTTTTCACGATGCGCGATGTTTGCCGAGGCAGGAAGCGTTTGGCAAAGGTTCACAGGTGGTCAAACTAAGACCTGGCATGAGAGCATGAAAATGCTAACCCGGAGACTGTGTCACATAGATCACGCTAGGCTCCGTAGATGGGGACTCCGAGATTATGGTAATTGGTTGTACGAGACACGGAGTGATACGGCTGGTGCATCTACTAATTATTTCAACCCCAGTCTATAGAAGTACCCTATCTTCACTTTGACTCTGCTCTCAACATTCTAATCTTCATCCTGCTCTTTTGTTAGAATGGGTAGCCAAAAAACGGCAAGCAAACGCGGCGCACGACAGTGCATGATTAATGGTTGTAAAATCTGAAACTGAAGCTGGATGACGTCGTGTGTAAATACAAATGAAATCCAAAATATTGTATTCCAGTAGTTAGTTTTTTCCCTTTCACACCGTATTGAGTCACCTAATCGTTTGTGGAACGGAATCAACCAATTTACTTCCTTGTTTACCATTGTTAGGTTGGGTGTAGTGGTACATGACATTTAGGTGAATGTGCCTTATTCAGTTGGCAAAATGTCGGTGCTCTGGAGACCCGTTCTGGCTATTTATTTGGTCTACGCGGTGCTTGTCTTTCTCGGAATCAGATCTCTCAACAACAGGTTGTCACTAAATGGTTGATGGATACTGGCCTTGATGGGGTAGAAAATTGATCTAATACGTATTGATACTGGTAGAAATGACAAACTTAAATTCAGTAAATTCAGCCGATGGATGGTTGCAAACCGCAGATAACCTGGATGAATTTTTAAATAGCCAGGCTTTTGTTTCCCCCGTGACCCTCCACTCATATCTCTAACCGTTCAATTAAAGACACCAGGAACGTACGAGCCGGATTTGAATTGAGGAACCACACTGGATCCATTTGAAAATGATGTGTTATTGGGCCTGGCTATGTCAAGATCATCTACCCTTGAAAGTCGGATTAAGTTGTCATCAGCTTGGATCGACTTAATTTTACTTCGGGACAGAAGCGGACAAGAAATCCGAATGCTACAAACCGAATTAAATTATATCCTTTTTTATCTCTAATGTCGATGCACTCACTGTTTATTGGCTGATGCCTTGAAATGTTAGCAGAATATCCCATTGAATGCTTGCAACTAATACCCACTTTGGAAGAGGTTCTAGATAGAAGGATCTAGTTTTTGTTACTAAGCGCAGTACTTCTCAAAAACCGCATTTTTGTGTATATCGGGTGTTGTGTTTGGTCTAAGCGTACGAATGACACGAGGGACTCTTGCTTAACCCCCAACGACAACGCGGAGAGAGAACACAGGTTCAGACACAGTCAGCGTGTATTCTTCGATAAGTTATCGATATGCCAAACATATAGACTAAACGTGCATTCGAGAACGGCGCAGTGACGCACCAATCAGATTGTCCTTGACATGTCGATTGATCGATTGGACAAAACATTGGCCGACACGTTCTGTGATCATCCAATCAGGTTCAGCCTGTCTGAAGCTTTGGGAGCGTGCGTGTGGCCTGACTCGGAGGCTTGTGCGATCGGACGGGTTTCTTAGGCTCCGTCCTGACATCGGGTACTTACGCAGCCCGTCCGACGGACACTAAATCAGACCCATTAGTGATGGGAGTGATCAAGCGGTTTATACATCGCAGTTGTGCGCTTCGTGACGAAGCTAGGCGAGGGTCATGTAGGTTTACGGTGTCTGAGGGTCGTAGACAGTAATGCCATTGTTTCTACGCGGTCTACGCTCGTCCCATTGACCCCTTAATCTGTATCCTTATCAATAACAGTTTTTCATGAACCAGGGAATGACACACTGAAGAAGATGGTTTCAATAAAACACTGTTAGTTCTACAGAACCTATCTGTAGTCGAATACTTGCCGAATGTAGTCGGTACATATATGTTCTTCTCTTTTCCATCTCACTGTGTGTCGCTCTACGATGATGATGATGATGATGATTCTTCAAGCACTGTTCATGAATTGTCCACTCCTACTATGCCCCACCCGCATGCGATTCGTCCCTTTTCATCACCATCGACAAGCATCTACAAGAAATAGCCAGCTCTTCCCCGTCATCTTCCCGTTCTTCACGAGCCATACCGCAAACCGAATGGGATCGTAAACGCCTCGCGTTTGTCACGTGGTTACGAACCGAACTGACTCAGTTGCTACCCACACCAACCTCGTTGCCCCTCTACGAGGTGTTCTACGGCTCAGTCGTTGGGGCACACGGAATCGCACCGCTTCGGCGTAGATTGAACCCACCAGTACAGCGCTGTTTGCACCGAACTCTCGTTAACCCCGCGGAGTATTTGCACGTATGTTTTCTATTCGCTAAACGTGACTCATATATGTATATTTTCACTTCTGCCAAATCAACTAGCGAAGATACATGCGAAACTCATTTTCCCAGTCTCGTTTAACTGCGTGTTGATTTCGATCTGGCAGACTCCGATTTCTGCTCCATCTTTTCATCCGTTGCAATCTCCTATCTCAGATCCCCGAATTTACTCTTCCGTCACCGGATAGTCTGTCACCGGAGTTACCAGACCTGTGCATCCTGTACAAACTGCATTTGGAATCGTTGAAAATGA